CAGTATAACAAGTTTAGGTACAGGGTTCGAATCCTGATCTAGCCATGCTAAATGTAAACACTCGTTGACTATTCATTTGTTTATTTCATCTGTGTTCTTTTTATGTTTTATTCTTTAGAATAAATTTATTAAGGCTATAGTCGTACCGGAAAAATAAGTTATGAATACTGACATGTACTTATGGTTTTTGGCAGTGGTACTGGGATCCTAATACACATTAATCCATTTAAAGACCAATATTTGCGGGAAGCAGTTTAACAGTATGTCGTCTTAACGTGCGTAGGTTTCTCAAAACAATAAAAGGTGGTTTTGAACAAGTCGGTGGTCCATAATAATCTGACGTTTATAAGAATATTATGAAGTTTAGCGATTCAATACAAATGTAAATCTGCTTCAGAGTCGATATTTGAAACCAATATATTTTAATATTGCTTTATGATTAGTCAACATGTTATCTCTGAATTATCTTCCTTTCCTTTCAATCAACTGTTTTCCAAACATGAGCAATTCATACCAAGAAATGTTTACTTTACGTCAAAGTCTATGTCCGAACGCTAGCTCTGATTTCAATTCCAATAGTTAAGAATCAACGCAAATTTATGGCAAATGAACGTAACACACACAGGTGATTAAACCTTTAACATTTCGTAATAGATACAGCTTGCCGAAAATGAATTACATTGCGTCACACAGCTGTTTCGTCATTCTAGGACTCCTTGGTGATGCTAGCTATAACGGTCAAAACTTTCGAAATCCAAATTGTCTAAGCTACTGTTGAAACAGAGGGGCGGATGGGTAAAGCCACGTAACTGATTAATTTAAACGTGTTGAGGAGTACTGGTCAACTAAAGAATCTGTTATATGTGTATGTTATGAACTGTGCCACTATAATCAATAGAGACAACTGGAACCAGCAAGGCTACAGCAGACTTTGGGGACTAAACTATCCATGAACAGAGTCTACCACTAAGTATCTTGAAAGATAAACGTAACACACTCACAGGTGATAGAACCTTTAAAACTCGGTTATTGACAAATAAGCCTAAAATGAATTACAGTTGTTTCGTCCTTCTATGACTCATCGGTGATTTAAGGGCCAAAAGGTTGGAAATCCAAATTGTCTAACATACTGATAAAATAGAAGGGCATGTGGATAATCTATTTAATTTAGTTATTTAAGAAGTTAGAGGAATACTGGTTAAATTTTCTGTAAATTGTTTACATGTATTTCATTAAACGAACTTGGTCCGTTAGTGTATTCCTATACTTGAACTATAGTGACGCGTGTCGCATGTTGTAAGAAAACATTTTGACTGCCGATTTGTTGTGTTGGTTTGCTCTGTCATATAGCAATGATGTTTCCTTGTTCTCATTGCTATCTTATTGTTTAGACTTTTGAGCTTGTTTGTCGACGCTATTCAGTCGACGCTATTGTTTACTATTGTTTACTATTTGCTATTTTCTAAGTCTATTTATTTGGGTTCATAAAGCCCCTTCTTTAAATGCACAGCCTTTTTTTCACGATGTGCATACAGGGCATTATAAAATTGTATAACAAAAGTAAAATCAATCTGCCAAGCTCGATATGTAAGCTGTACTGTTTGCCGTGACACTGTATAGTCCCTCTCCCCTGAGTCCACTTGATGTACATTGCTATCGCACTTGGGTGCTGCTATTGATTCAAGCTTTTCATTATTTGTAATAGATTGAAAGGAAGTCGTGTAAATGCCCTGTGGCACGCTAAAGTGACAAGTGTCAAGTGGAAATATTGACGGTATTTGTTTGATAAAGCTAGTTACTAATTACATTGACGGGTGTTGTATGATAACGCTAGGCACTAGTTACACTGTCCAGTGAAAAAAAAAACATTGACGGTATTTGTTTGATAAAGCTAGGTACTAATTACATTGTCTAGTGAAAGGAAATATTGAAGGATGTTGTATGATAAAGCTAGGCACTAGTTACACTGTCCAGTGAAAAGAAACATTGACGGTATTTGTTTGATAAAGCTAGGTACTAATTACATTGTCTAGTAAAAGGAAATATTTACGGGTGTTGTATGATAAAGCTAGTCACTAGTTACACTGTCCAGTAAAAAGAAACATTGACTGTATTTGTTTGATAAAGCTAGGTACTAACTACATTGTCTAGTGAAAGGAAATATTGACGGGTGTTGTATGATAAAGCTAAGCACTAGTTACACTGTCCAGTGAAAAGAAACATTGACGGTATTTGTTTGATAAAGCTAGTTACTAATTACATTGTCTAGTGGAAGGAAATATTGACGAATGTTGTATGATTAAGCTAGGCACTAGTTACACTGTCCAGTGAAAAGATACATTGACGGTATTTGTTTGATAAAGCTAGGTACTAATCACATTATCTAGTGAAAGGAAATATTGACGGGTGTTGTTGTATGATAAAGCTAAGCACTAGTTACACTGTCCAGTGAAAAGAAACATTGACGGTATTTGTTTGATAAAGCTAGGTACTAATTACATTGACTAGGGAAAGGAAATATTGACGGGTGTTGTATGATTAAGTTAGGCACTACTTACTAGTGGAAGTATCCACGGGTTTTGAGTAAAACTATTTAGTGACTTGTTTTATGTATGGTTACCGGAACTTTGGCTGAGCGCTAGTTTTATAAAGCTTGGACTAGTTATTCTGTGTAGTGAGACAGAAAATCGCTGAGTGCTAGTCTTATAAAGATAGCGACTAGTTATTCTGTGTAGTGAGACAGAAAATCGCTGAGTGCTAGTCTTATAAAGCTAGCGACTAGTTATTCTGTGTAGTGAGAGGAACAACCATTGCAGGATAGTTTTTTCCAAATCCCCAAGTGGCGCCAGGGTTTGATCTGTAAACAATTTGTGCACTTCCGGTGCTTCCCCATGCGTGAAAGCCTTCTAGGAAATTGAGGCCGCATACTGTCTACAAAAATATGATGGTAAACCCTACGGTATCGGTATTTATTACAGTCTGCTAGTGAAATCTCATGAATTTTCTATTTGATAAAAACATATCTTTAATCCATTGAAGATGAACAAAACATTAAATCTTCACAAGTAAAAACGTCACTCTTAGTATTGTCTAATCTGAATGGTACATTATATTCTCTGCGTAGATTTTCAGTTTCAAGTTTAGATGAAGTGGCGGCAGACTAAGTGGTTGTGTTGTCTACCTTTGTAGCATACATTATTGTTTTTACATAACGACACAATTGATATCATTTTTGTCTGGACATCTTACCCGATAATACTAGCAAACGGCAAAATTGAAGTGAAAACCCTTTCAAAATGGCGCTCCGTATTGTTGTCAAGCGTGACGTCATTGGAACGTGGCGTCAACAACTACGCTGCACATTCCCACTTTCTGATGCAGCAATATTTGCGCCACGTGACGTGAACAAATGTAAGAAATAGAAAACTTCATGGGTTTTTTTTTTGTAAAAAAACAAATCTGAGTGGAACACTGCTGAGTTTTGTTTTATCAATTTCGTTTCGTAACAGGATTTATGTTCTGGTTTTAATTATATTGTTGCTTTTTAAGGCTTGAGACTGGTTTTATGGTCCATGTTTTGTTTTATAAGAATTTGGATCAGTTAGTCTGTCTTGTGGGTTGAAACATCGTCGAGTGATGTTTTATAATGTTAGCGGCTACATACATTGTTGAGTGAGTCATTTGGGGATTTTAATCCCTCGGGCCTGATACTCACGCGACATGACTCGTTTCTGACGGCGATAAATAACCTCTGTGTGAAATATTGCTATCAAACAAGGATACATGTACTCCTAACGTCCTTGTTTAATCCAAAATGATTGCTTTCTTAGAGTAAACAGATAGTATGCATGCAAGCATGGTTCAAGCTGACATTTTCACAGATCTGATATTGGTGTGTGTATAACACTGACCTGCATCCACAGGGCGAAATGCATTAAAACAAGCCATTCTTCAGCTTCCTATTTTATGCTATAATAAAATTGATAATTGATTTTTGTAGTTTCCAACAAATAATGTCCGATTGCTTGTGTAAAGGTCAACAGTTTGTTATCCGGTATAATTCACCTTTAGTAATTGGTGAAACTATCGGGGTTTTTCCGATTAAATGTATTGCATGTTCGAAAAAAAATCTACGTTTGCCAAGTTAATAAGCCTGGCTGTGTGAGCCTTACCTAGACCTTATGTATACCTCACAGTAAACGATGGACCCCTCAAGACGAAACACGAGATCGATACGGGCGAATATCGATCTTACACGGTGCGAGGGAAGGTGTCTTCTGCCAAATTGGGGAATGATTATGGGTTTGGTTTTTGTTCGGTAACACAGATGTATTTCGCTGACTGTTAGTGTAACACGTCTGACGCAGTTAGGGCGGATGTATACCGAAGACGCGTATCTTGCACATTTACGTCCCGGCCACGCATCACAAGGTCAACGATTGGAAGTAAATTGTCTTATATTATTTGTGTACTGGTAGTATAATACAAGCACATCAATGTCAGTATCAGATGCGTTGTATTTAATATATGACAGATAAATAATATTATTGCTGAACCGGGACGCTGGTTAACACCGCTAGCATGTGAATTTCTTATTGATTATAAGAGGTCGTTAAATAAGTCTTAACACACCTTAACATGAAAAGACTGTAAGCTGGAATACTACGTGTAACCATATACATTACACGAATATAGATACATCGATTGCATATTTCTGTTACAGCGCCTGGATTAATAAGCAATAACACAGAATTGGTACAACATGTGAATCTATCATAGTGACCCCACTGTGATTCTTCCATTACCTTTTATTGGATCGGATATTTGTAGGCCATTGACGACTGAATACTATATATCACCAGGGAAATCATTTACAGACGTAGACATGTGCGTGGAACTGTAAAATCTTCTTACAGTATGATTCAACCTTGTTATTTATATAATGGAGTGGGAATGCACGTACGTGAAAGTGCGCGGGACACCAACGGGTTTTATAGATATAGATAGAGCATTGGGCTGCAGCACATATTTTGAAGGAAGGATTTCATTCGATAAGAATCTGGAATAGAACACCTTCGATAAGTGGAGGGTGGCCCGTGACACAAAGAGATATGATGTAGCCCACCATGTGAACTACGATCGAATACTGCTTTGATTGTTTAGTGTTGTCAATGGAGACGATTAATGAGGCCATTTCGATAAATACGGCTGGCAACTAAACACTGGAACGTGTATGGTGCACGTATCCGTATTCACGTATATGTATCTCTAGAATATATCCTGTGACCACCGTTGATGTCATTTCTGGTGCTAGAACATGTTTATCTACAACGTAAATATACCTCTGGCTGGACAGCACAACTGGTAAGTTTATTAACTATGTTACATTAACCTCGTCTCTTCAGAAGGTGAGTGTACGATATCTATACCTACAGTGTAGGCCGATCTGTTTTGTTACCAGTAAAAATCCAGATGGTTTTGAACGAACAATGTCTTCATATAAGTCATCGTGATGAGTAGAAAATAATAAACTGATGGATGCAAAAATTCCATACTAAAGTGCACACGCACCACCTCTTCATTCATGATCATTCGTTTATTACCACACACAATCACTTTCGAAACTGTTGCTGAATGGCATTGTGCTGGTTTATTTTCCTCTCGTAATCATTTAAGTGTCTACTCTATGTTTCGAAACAATTTTGTTTTGGTGGTATAGCTTCATTACACGATTGTAAATTTCAAAATTTAATATGCTTATACCCTGAATCAACTATACTCCTTTTTACAAGCCTTCATATAGCCAAAACATTTATACAATCAATGACATTGATAACTTATCTATTTATATGTTAAAACAATATCCAAATAGTGTATACCAGACAGTGAGTGTAAGTGGTTACCACTTCCAATTTCTCAGTCACTATCCACTCTGACTAAAGGCATCTCCTCTATGCCTGAGATTAATGGTGATCATCATAATTTCCTTAATTTGTCCTGGACGCATCAGAGGGAACCACTTGTTGCTCAGGAAACGATTGTCATCCCGTATCAACTGGTTCCACCCGGGGGATATTTTCTAGTGGGTGTTGTTTTTCTTCAGTTACTTTTGTTTCTTCTTTGGTTCCTGTCATGGCAGTTTTGTATCAATGTTTAATTCGGATGTTGCGCTATTAGTATTATTACCAAAATATATTTCATTTTAATTATTCATTTCATTTATTATTATTATTATTTTTAATTTTTTTTTCAATCTATATAACTGTAATTCCCGGTACTTTAATATTCAAAGACAACATATCAGCTTTAGCTATACAGTGCAATTACTATATTTCCAATGCACAAAACACATTAATGATGGAATTACAAATGACCAGCCGTCATGTAAAGGCAATTATAGCTTCACACAGTAATATTTCCCTTAAACATAACACATCAATATTACAAATACAAAAACTCATTTTAACATACTTTACATGACGCTGATAAATATTTATATATGTATAACGATAGTGTTACAGACCTCCACGACAACATTTATACAATATATGCCTGTAAACTAATAAAACTGTTACAGAATGATCGTAATTTAAATGAAATTTGGGGCAATATTTATGAAACTGTTCTCATGTTCAAACTCATATTCTGTGCTCAGGCCCAATTTCTTGTTTGAGAAAAGTTTATAAGAATCACATTTTGTCTAAAGTTTTGAAGAATTTTAGAGAGACTTCAAGTCATATTCCATTTTCAATACAAACACTTTGCTTTTTAGTCACATGATTCAAGTGAGTGAAAAGAGAGTTGGCTACCATACTTGAGCATGAGAACGGTTTCATGAATATGGATCTAGGTGTTTCAAGTTGCCACGTTATACATATGCAAAGTTTGGCATTTTTTCTTTGTTTTTTGTTTTTGGTTGCTCGTCGATGAATGAGCCAATACATTGACAGTGACAGGTATTTATACATCTGAGTTACTGGAGCTGTATGATGCTTTAATGATACAGCTATTAGCCACTCTCGCTAACAGGACTTTTCCATTTGTTCGAACAATATTTTTCAAATAGAATAGATCGGCTAATAAGGGCACTGAAAGGGGTTTCTACCTGATGTAAGCGTGTCTTGCTGCATGCATAAACATCAATGTGTAAGTATGATAAATCACTGTTAATCTATTCTAAAATGAATCAGCAAATGTGACAATATAACATGGTAAATAATGAGTTTCGATCAACGCTACTTTACTATTGATTTCTTTAATTGCCCGAATTTGACAAGTCCGTATAAATATTTTATTTGTAGCAATCGCAAGGCATGTAGTTGCCAATATTCTGAATATAACTGTACTTTTAGAGGACTCTATGTACTCTTTTGGTGTTCAGGATATCCAATGATCGATGTGTTTTAGTCACGGCAGCTTGCCTAATCTGTTCATTTTGATTTCACTGGAGAAATTATTTGTGCTCTTCCTGTTTGCAAAATCTAATATCATGTTTGATAATTTTGAAACATTCTGACTCCTGGTGATATTAATAGATTTGTAAACTTCATGCATGCTCTCTTCCTGCTGCTGCTGTTACCATCATCGTAAATACTAATATTTTAACTTCCTCATGACAGGTGCTTGAATTATAATGTATTCTGTTGTTTAGGTATGGGTTATTTCTTTTATAATAAAACAAAACTGTGTAGTAATATCATATATTTACCCTCCCTATTCTGTTCTTAAACATGTGTGATGGAAATATGATTGGGGTCAAGTGAAGTAGCGTTAAAGAACGCTTAGTCATATATTTTAACATATATCTAAATACCAAAAAAAAACATAACTGAGTGTGAAATATACAGGGCTTTCGCAGCCTAGACATCCACTTAACTGGAGAACTTGTTTTAGTCTTCGTGATGTGAATCGTCTCAGAATATACGTCACGCTCCTAGAAAGACATCAGTCTTCAGGCGGATAACCTGGTGTAGTTGTCTCGACTGGTACGATGAAAGGGTTACTCGTCCAACTTGTATTAAGATATATAAAACAAAAACAAATAAAAAAAAAACACCGGGGATAACTACCGACATGGTCATTCCAGTCTATGCTATTCAGTTTAGTAGAGCTAACGCACTGCCAACAGCAAAATGTTACATCACCGTATCAGGCGCTGCACTCATCTTGATTTACTCAGTTTATATTAGCAAAACAATATTATATCGTCAAATAAAGTCTATTTGCAATGCAATTTAGAATCTTGAGATTATTCTCAATCTGTATTGCGTTTTAAAGAAGCTCTAGTGATTCACATAAAAGTCGAATGGAGTATTAACGATTGGAGGTTGTTTTTTCCTGAGTTTCTCCGGAGAATGCATATTTGTTTTTTAATTTTCGCCAGTAAACTAAATAAATAACTCTCTTATTTTGCCTTCATTATCGATTGTCTTTTTGGCGAAACGCAATTGCTCAGAGCGATTTATTACCGATGTGAATCATCTAAAATTGACATAATGGTGTTATTAAGCTTTGTATTTAAGGATTGAATCTTGCTTTGGTCGATTTTATGGGTTAATGAATTGAGTTGGTCTTGAACGAAATTTAATGAACTGCAGTTCATGTTGAGTTTGTTTCAAGACCAAATCAGTTCATTACCTCATGACATCGACCAAAGCAAGATTCAATGCTTATATTTCAAACGATGTGTTTGTTTCCAATAAGTGGAACCTGTGAAGTCCAATCTGATAGTTTGTCCCAGGTTCTGGAGCTGGTGCAAATCTACTTATTGAAAAAACATAGTCCGTCATTGAAGGACCATCATATAACAGGATGGTGCACGTTGATAGTTCAATACGGCCAAATTATGTAGAAACAAATTGCAAAACCATATTTTAAATGTCAGATTTAATATTTGTTGATGAATTCATAAGATATCAATTTTTTTAACGCGTCATCGCGGAAGAATAATTTCTGGACGCGGTGCGCAGACTCAGCTGCGGGTGTATGGCAGCCATAGTTTTACTAGCTCGAAGGTTTCGAGGTTCTACATCTTCTGAAATGTGAAGCTGCAGTAATTGAATGTCGAATGTAAATGTTGATATAGCAGTTGTTTGTTCGACTGAATTTCATATAAAACCACTACCCATGCGACTACGTTGTTTTCGATTTGTACCGGGGGTTGAAAAATAATATTTTGCTGATTATTTGTTTTTGGTTGTTTGAATAATTTCGTGTGTAGCTTCAATACATCTTCTTTGTTTAAACATGTCAATAGTTATCTCCCTTCGCAAAATCATACGCACAGGCAATGCTAATCTAGTCAAATTCATCGGCAAATGACACCGGTTACATTTGATAGTTGCACTGAGTCGAACTTGAGTAGGAATTGAAATATTATGAAATTCACAAATACGTATCAGCCATACATAAAATATTTACAATGCATTGCGGGTAATGTCTCACATTACCTTATCTGTTGTGCATTACCATATCTACAGTTAGATAGACGTTATCATGAGCATGTCCATATTCTACACCGTGTCAACCTGACTGAGATGCCCAGGGGCTGCTATGAAACAGGGTTGATACGGGGAAGGATATGGAAATGGGCTTATGATAACATATGTTTATCATAAACGACACACTAACTAATTTAATACGCAGTAAAATTATCATTGAATAACAGAAGTCGAGAGTAATTGAGCATATTTTTTTTTTAAATGTGTAGAACTGGACGAAAAATTGATATTGCTAATGCAGAACAGGTATGGGGCGTGCTGGAATATGGCCTTTGCAAAGTTGGCAGTATCACATAGGCAAAACAACTTACATCTGGAACAAGTATATGCTAATTAATTTCCCTGTAATACACTGCCATACAAAACATACAATTACCATATCTGTCAAACACTGCGTATTTAACACATCAAGGGTAATATTTAGCCTTACCCTATTTGTGGTAAAAACTTTTTTCAGGGAAAAAAATAATGTAATCTCAGTTGTCATCTTATTCATATTTATTGCAAAGCAGAATAGAAAACCACTATTTCCAGATAAGTATGGAGGCCAGGATGTTCTTCGGTTTGTCAAGGAAATCGATAGCAAACGGGGACGTATTACTTTTGCATCTCTATTCGAAATTCCCTTGTCATTTGTAAACGCATTTTCCAGCCCTGAAGTTTTCACGGGAGAGAGTATATCAGCGTCAGTGAGGTACAGCACACTTGACATTTAAAGACTATTGAGCTTTTTAATAGGCAAAGTGTTCAAATACGTAGAAATGATTCATTCTTGGAGATGTATTTTAATATAATATTGTGTAGAAATATATTGATTTTAGCTTTGCCTGGTTTGGCACAAATGCGACTAGATGTGTTTGTTAATTTATTCTTTTTTTTCTTAAGCCCATTCCGTTTATAGAAGATGAAAAATAAAAATTCTGTGAAGAAAAAAAATATTTAAAAAATTATATCGATTATAGCATCATAATCTCATTTGTGATAGATTGTGTTCGCCACATTTAGCAGTGCTTTAGGAATGGCTAACTTCAGAACCCCTGTTCCACTACACTGCGATCGTCGTATTAATAGTTATCTTCTCTTAATTTTGTTTTGATATAACCGTAGCACAGTAGGGTCAGGACACTTCTATTGCCTAGATATCTCAATCAGTTATTTGGATATTGTAACAAAATGAAGCCCATGGTTAGAATCCTGGTGTAGCTCGGCTAATTATTCTACACTGAGAACATTTACTATTGCTGATTGTATTTTGATGAATTTCATCTTAATGACCTGGTATTTTTCGTAAAAGTTCTACAATGTTTGGTTTTCTTTTTATAAATGATTTATCAAAGCAATAGTCATGCCGAAAAAAAAACAATTTCCAATGCGCATTTACAGTGTGTTGGCAGTGGTAAGGGGGTCCTTATATGTTTATGTTTTACCAAACTAAATGGGAACCGAAAATTATTTGATAAATTTAACGTTAAAAGTACCTTAATATAAAAAATAATTTAATCTTGATAATATGTTTTCATGTTAATGGTTCATATTGAATCATTCTGTGATTGAAGAGAGTCATATTACCATAAAATGGCTAAGCAATGAAAAGCGTTGTTCTGCATACAGTTGTTGACATGAAAACAATTCCAAATAGTGAGCCACACTAGAGAAGTTCGAACAAAAGCTATATTTAATATGGACACGTATGCCAACCTTGAGGCAATGCAAGTGAAATGTTGGATGAATGTGAACGCCAGAAAAAAGCAAAAACTGAAAAACTATAACTAGAATCTGCGGGAACTGCCACAAGTTTGCCCATAAATAACGAAGCATGGTTAAATGTTTAATCCAACAATTTTCTCAGTAATAAACTACGATTTCCTATGGTAATTTGATGGAATAATGAAGGGATTAAGGTGAAACGTAGCACTTGTATAATATAGTACCCGCCTTGGCTTCCGTATTAAACGATTGTATCAGCAATACACACTAGACGTTATAGTATTTCAACGATCATTAACTATAATTAAGTATTTTAAGATTAATGAATGTGGATAATTTAACTAGGTTGTTTTACAGTTTCCTATTACCTGATGGTAACGATTCCAAGGGGAAACGGGTGTGAGTCGCGAACCTAGTGTTGTGTAATGTGTTTTGTTGATCTTTTCTTACATTTATCAGAACTAAGAAGAACTGCACAACGTAAAGGTGCCTACGTTTGACATTATTCTGTTTCAATTTGTTGTGTTAATACACATCCTAATTAAAAGTATAAAAAAATCATTCTTTAAGTGGAAGTTTATTAATTATCAAAATAAAGTGATTTCGAGTAGTGCAGTGTTTGTCGACTTATACTGTGGTGTATATTTTAAAACAAATCATATAATAGCGAATTACGATTAAAGTCTACATTTCAACAACAAAGAGTCAACAAAGAGTCTCTATTTCAAGTGTACAGTTACGTTCCCGTCGAGTTTGAACAAGCAAGGTAATCGACCGTTATAATAGTAACAGCCACAAGGACACCTGAGACATAATGGGACCATACATACTTTATATCTCAAGATCCCAGGAGGCATGATTTATAAATAATCAATAAGCTACCGAATGATTGTGGAATTGATCCGGATTTTCACACCGACGTGAAAGAGAAATGCAAATACTCCAGTGGTTTACCTCCAGTGGCGAGTTGAAACAACACAGTTGAATCGCGTGCACACATAATCGCCATAACAGTTATCTTATATTATTCAAATAGATTATTGAACGGAATTAAAACAGTCATATACAGGTAACGTAAATAAAAAGGAATATGTTCACAGTAGAACGGTGGCTGATTTATACTATTCAATATTTCGTCCATTCACTTCAAAATGACGTGTTTAACACTTCTTCATTTATTTTCTCACCCCCGTTTTGCCCCGAATGGATGAGGAATTGAAATTCTATTTATTTATTCATGCATGCATACATGCAAAAGGACGCGAACATGGTAGTTAATAAACTTCTAAGTTTTCCGTTCTTCATCGTTTGACGAGTTTTGCCTTCCACAATGTTTGCCCCTAGCATCACTTACGAGTCTTAGTATGACAAAACTGTTGTATTGTGTAATACCATTCAAGTTTGGCATACTCTATATATTACCAAGTTTCATAAATGCAATAGATGAATAGATATGACGGATGCCTTTTGCATGGTATTTCATTAAGATAGCACTATAAAGTCGGCTATCGCAAGGAGGCAACTACTCCAATATACCTTGCCCTGGTACACATGCATACATGCATAAGGTACGTCCTTAAATGACCTAAGCTGTTTATAGTACGTTAAACCTGATAAACCAAACCCTACTTTCACGTGACATGTGTCGTCTGGTATTGCTTTCTGGTTAGGGAATTGAAAAGACGAAAATGAAGTAGATACTTAATGCCGTCGTTTTGTGCAAGGAAACGAAAAAAAAGGATTAGATATTGATTACTTAAGGCGAAGGGACAAAGAAGAGAAGTTAAGAAATGTTAAATTTCGTCACTTATCAGTCATTGTAGAGAATAATTATAATACATGTGGAGACAGTATTTGATACATGTACATTCAGGTTTATATCCCCTAAATGAACTCGATGTATATCATATGCGCTATTGGTTTAATCCCGTTAATTCTAATAGCAAATTAGAACTGTGTATTTATATATATTTGACCATCTTTGCACTTAAAGAGTAGAATGTATCGACCTCGCGTGGTAGCCTGCTATTTCCGATTTCCTTTGTTTACATCGGTGATAGCTTCTATGTGGTATATGGTATGGGCAAATTTCAAATGCCTATGTGGTTGTTGACATTATGTTAAAAGGAACACTTTATTTCCAGGTGTGTGTCCTTTTGAAGACAACAAACCAGCAATGATGCATGAATGCAATTCTGGACATTAGCAAGGTCAAACAATGACGCCTCCATCCAATCTGCACCTGGAGGCCCGCAGCTGGTTCGTCAGACACAATAGCTTATCTAGGTACGATTTGCACCTGTGTGAGAGAGTTTAAGGTGGCACGGGTAAACATCATGTGATGTGTTGCATCGATTCACTAAATATTTGATTATGTGTAGGTATAAACTCTTACCACAAAAACCAAGCGTGATTAAAAAGTGTATGCCAAAGGATACTTATTTGAAAGTGCACATATTCCGTCTTTGCGTATTGCAGAGTTATCTTCTCTTGGGAGCAGGTATTGATTGGTACGTCATTGGTTTGTGTGAGAAAATTACGTGTTTTTTTCTCAAAAATTGTTGACGTTACTCTCACAAACAAGTGACGTAACAATCAATACCTGCTCCCAAGAGAAGATAACTCTGCAATACGCAAAGACGGAATATATTTGAGACAATGTACGTGTGCTCATTGTATTAATGCAAACCATCCATTCATTTAATCAATGTCTCTGAAAAGCTTACATATAACGACAAGCGCGTGCATCACAAAACATCAGCATCTGTGTGACAAGTACACACTGCAACATATAAACATCACTATTTGAAAGACCTTATAATGCACAATGCATTTCATTACCCAATCTCTTAAATATATCTTATTTCAGTATGTATACATGTCGTGTTATATATCTTATTATGATGCAAAATATCTTTTAAACTGAATCATGTCGTTTATAGATTTTCAATATGCTACATACATATATCTTAAATAAGACGCATTTTTTTTGTTATATATTATCTTGTTGATATCAAAAATCTCCTCTATACTCTGTTATATCTTCTTGTATAGGTTAAGAATGATTTTAGATGCACAAATTGTCCATGATATTGCTTTTCATCAGAGAAACTATTTATACGATATAGTTGTATATCAATATAAGATAGGGAAGACAACATAGTTAAATTACCATCGTTAACACAGATTTCCTAAAAGGTCTCATTCAGGTAAAATTAACTTTCCCCTTAAAATAGCGTTTTATAATATCCGTAGTATACCATGCACTTTACATACAATGTATAATAATAGTTCTGCGCGTCAACAACCTGCTCAATCAATTATTTATAAATATGTTGCTGAGTCAACTGCCAAGAGGCTACTTTGTTCATCAATGCAAGTTTATTATCTGTAAACAATGTCGTCATGTAAATATAATTATCCGTAGTTGACTAAGTGTTAAGTAGGGTGCTGGGCAGGAAGTGTAGCCGGCCTGTTTTCAATGATTGTTTGAATGGGCTATCTTACAGCAAATACAGCTTATTATCTGGAAATGACTTTATTCTATTAACAAACAAATAGGTGATGATATTGAAGTGTATGTCACACAAAAAACACAATCACTAGAAATAAGAAGAACGAAAGTATCTTTAAAGGGTATAAATCACGTCTATGCAAATATATAAGTCGACGAGCTAACACTTGTACTGCACCATATTACATTTCGTCCTGTTTTAAATCATTAGTGGTAAAATGCTCCGAAAAGTGATGCAATACATCATGGTCGCCTTGTAACACCGTTTAATGTTCATATAGAGCTTATTCATATGGTGTACACTTTTCATGTGAAACATCAACCCTTTTAATCACATCGATCACTTCTTATGGGAGGTAGAAACTTAAGATATAAAGTTTTTATTTTGAATGCTTAAATACATAGGATTTATCATCAGCATATTTTTTAAGCTAAACACAAGGTCGAAGTGAATAGCATTTTTCATGCAAACTTTAAAACTACTGTAAAATCATAAATATTCGTGGGACATTAAATTTCGTTTATGTAGTGGTTAACAAAAATCCACGAAAATAAATCCCCACGAAAACATAAATTTGGTATGCTATAGATAGGGGAAAATAAGAAATTAGCGAAATATTTTGTCCTGGAAACAGGCTAGTATATGAAAACAACGAAATGTTTAACCCCCGAAAATAAATGATTCTACAGAATGTTCTAAGACAAACAGCTAATTCATATTTCATAGCTGCACACAATTTACCATAAAGATAGTACTACTCATCAAAACGTGTTAGCTCGATATTGTCTTGATCTATGAGTCTGAAACCATATAAGACATGGTAAATCAAGTAGTTTTGCTACAGCCTCTGGTTGTTCGTTATTTCCAATAACTTATCTTGCATTATTGACTTTTGTTGAATCTGGTGAATTAAATGCAGACACTAATACATTTGCATTGTCAAAATCTAAATGAACTGGTAAGGTATCCCTTAAAAAAATGTTTTCAACTCATTCTAGCCGTACTAATAGGTGCAGAATCATTTCTAAGGTTAACTTTGCAAAATGATGCGGATTACAAGACGAACCGTTCTGGTCTGCTCTAGGAGGGTTACTTGCTACTTGCTAAGTAATATTGTATGTTAAGCTAGCAGAACTAAGTGGAGCCATCTCGTCTACAAGGCTAGCTGTGCTAATTGGTGAGCTGTAAAAGACTTGCTGTGTAATGTGCTAAGTGGTGCGGTCTACAAAACTAGTCGTACTAAATGGCCCTGGCTACAAGACTGCATATAGCTGTGCTACGTGTTGTTATTAACAAAACTATACTTGCTAAGTGAGGGGAGCTTCAACGCTAGCCGTGCTAAGTGGTCTACAAATGATGCTGACTACAAGACTTCATGAAGCTGTGTTAAGCGTTGCGGTCTACAAAACCATGATATAGGGACTACCACGTCAATTGGTGCGGTCTACAAGGCTAGCCGTGCTATGTTATGCGGTCTGCATGGTTACTCTAGCCCTCGAACACGTACTGATCCCAAGCTTACAAACTAACATGTTTAACAGAAGTAATCTGAGAATTGACAGAAATAAAATGGTTTCAACACTTGACGATATATTTTTAGAAATATTAGGAAGTGCTTACTTGAAACCTGCATCATTCAATCCTGGCGTAACTACATGGGGGTATCCAAACTCTTCACGCACGTGTGAATATTTCAGCCAGTAGTAATGTTCTAGATATGGTTACCCGCACCAAGTTTCATTTAATCACTTCACACATTGTCGATAAGACTCACGTCCATGGTTAAGCTACTGTAAAAATGTAACGATTATATTTCTTTTCAGCCGATAATGGCGCTTTACACAGTAATTTTTCTTGCTATATTTGGTACAAATGACCTTTGAACTTTGTTGTTGTGGTTCAACTCTTGGCTTTTACTTTTGCTGTCGGCTTAGATGAGTACTTGTATAGTCCCCATAGTGCTAATAAATGTGTATTGTGCTCTGATAGTAGTGTTACTAATACAATGTATACCAGTAGAGGTATGTTGACACGGGAATGACGACATAGCATTCATTTTTCAGTGAATTCAAAAAAAAATCGTTTGAATTATGCACTAATTTGAATATACACATCTCTTCTTTTGGAATATTCAGTGAATTTAGCGTTAGCCACAATCACTTTGGCGAGAAACGACAAGAATGAAAAGGTGGTGCCCATTTGTATTATCCGAATTCAGTAACGAGAATACCACCGTTATAATTAGTTACTGCTTGAACTATGCAGTACATAGAGTTTATTGCACAGTTTATTTGCGAAAAGGGGTTATTCATTTACTTTTCACAAATGTCTGTCGCAGAGCGGTTAGAACCTTTGGTAGATGTATTATACATACATGTAAATTGGAATTGGTAATATATTAGTAATGCGCATGTATATATGAACTTATTATAATTCTAAAACTTTGAACAAGATGAAAATTCAAATAATTACATCCTTTATAGTACCTCTTCTCATTCAGTAAGCATGAACATGTTTTTGTGGATTACAAGGACAGTATTGATATTGAAATTGACAGACAGAAATTACAAAACCGAATTTTAATATTTTATAATAACAATGAAATAATTTAACAATAAGTATTTAATTTTGAACATGTATTTAATAAGTCAGCCACATTTATTTCTATTGGGAGGATTTTTATTTCATGCATATCTTTGTTTAAGAGGTGTAAAAGACTTTAAATGATTGAAGCGCATGTTTTAACATATATGCATGTACTTTGATACAGAATAGCTCAACTTGGGGGATAAGTTTGAACGGCAATGTGCTGCCTTACATGATAAACGTTTAAAAAAGATGCGTTTCTATCCTTTGACTTCCAATCGACGAAGATAATTATATTTTTCTGGGTGGCATATTTTAATTAATTTAACCAGTTTTTCGGGGGAACGATGTTGTATTTTCTTAGGTTACAGATTTCGTAGGGCGACGGCTGTCAGTCTGGTTCAATATGGAAATGTTTGTCATATTTGACGTCACACTATAATTTGTTTGATTCCGCGTAAGAATAATTCCTCTATGAAGTTTGGTATTTAATAGCAACCTACAGTACATTTCGTATAAGCTAACGTCAGCTGGTATAGGTCAAACGTTTCGTAGAATGTAAATAATGCATTAAGCAAGCGAAGTTACCGTACCAACCACCTGTCCTTAACTACACGCGCGTCACTTCCTGTTGTTATACTCGCTTTACCCTACTACAATAGCATGTAATTACAAACCAGTTGCAATAATCATGCCTTGGACTATTTCTGACCAAACAGAAATTCGGATCAAGAATGTCGACCTTAACGCACAATAATGACGATATGATATAAAATGGTGTATCAACTAGTCTCTCTAGATTCAGAAATGAGTTAATTAATATTCGATAGGTCTGTTTTTCATGACAACCGTTATCAGGTTATGAATCTAAAAATAAAAGAGGTGTTCATTTAACAAAACTGTCCATGTTTAAATAGCAGAGGTGTTGGTTTAACAAAACTTTCCATCTATAAATAGTAGAGGTGTTGGGTAAACAAAACTTTTTAATCTAAAAAAAACAGAGGTGTTAGCTAAATAAAACTTTCTATTTAAAAATAGTAGAAGCGTTGGGGAAACAAAACTGTCTATCAATAAATAGTAGAGGTGTTGGTTAAACAAAACTTTCCATCTAAAAAAAGAAGAGGTGTTTGTTATAACAAAACTGTCTATCAATAAATAGTAGAGTTGTTGGTTAACCAAAACTTT